TATAAATTTACTACGAAAACGATAATATTCGCAAAATTTTGCCACGTGAAAATATCAAAATCGATAACCTTCGAAGGATAACATATCGAAAAATAGTGAAATACTTATGTTAACGTTAACTTTCGAAGGTTTTCACTAGAAAAAATTTCCTGATGATTCTATATATAAAAATAAAAAAAATATTTAATTAAGTGTTTCTTTAATCAAAGAATCTATCTGAGTAGTTAAAAAATTTCAGATTTTAAGTAAAATATTTTCATCTTCTATGAAAAACTATTTTGACTTTTTTTTCAATTTTGAAATTTCAAAATAATTTTATATACAAGTATAATTTCATTAAATGATTATTATTTTAAAATTTTTCTTCTGTTTAAACTTTAAATACTAACATTCTTTCAATTTTAATAATCTATATCTGTTCTTTTTATATAACTAGTAAAACTATATTGTTAAGCATGTATATTTGATTTATTTTATATCAATTTTTAACAGAAACAAAGTGATATACTTCTTTATCTAGTCAATAAAATTAAATTTTTATATTACCACTGTGTATTATATAATAGATATGCAATTAATTCTTATATTTAAGGTTACTTGGTACAATTTTTGACATTTTTACTTATTAAAATAAAAATTTTATATGTCATGAATTTGTAATTTATAAAATGATTGTCAAAAGGAAAAATTGATCATAATTATCTCAATTTTTAAGTTGATGCAGCACAAAAATAATATTTCTTATATTCTAATTGTATAACTGTAAAGCTATTACACAAACTTTATTATTACATTTTATAAAAGTATACAATTTTAATCAAATAAATATTGACTTGAAATTTTTTGGGAGGAATAAAGTATGTAGCCATTTCTGTTACTCTTATCTAATGCTTTATCGTATAAAATAAATAAATCGGTACGATGTAAAAAGGTTTAGGATTTTATAATAATAATTAAGATAATTATTAGTTAAATTATAAAAGTATCTTAATGGGTACAAAAATTTTTTTTAAATAACCTGACCATGCCACGGGTTATTCTAGTTATTCTAAAAAATCTTTGATTGGTTGTGTGCAACAAAAATTTTAAATATTTTTATTTTTAAAACCAAAACTTGCAGATTTCAAGCTGGCACAAATCTACAAAATGTCATCTTCACATTCTCTTTTATTCACTTTCTTCTTTATAATCTTACTCTCAACACATGCCTTGGCTTTTTACTTGCCAGGAGTTGCGCCTCGTGACTATAAGGAGGATGAGCGTGTCGAAGTTCATGTTAATTCCCTCACACCGATGATGGGACCACATTCGCAACAATTAAAATCTGTCATTCCATACGATTATTATTATAAACCTTTTCACTTTTGTTCACCGGAAGAAAAACTGAGTCAACCTGAATCGTTAGGAAGTATTTTATTCGGGGATCGTATATTTAATTCGCCATATAATGTTTGTCGACGTTATTTTTTAATTAAAACGTATTTAACAGTAGTAATTTTTCTTGATAATCTCTAATTTTTTTTTTCCTTTATTAAAATATTATTAGCTTAAAATGCTTAAAAACAATCATACTTGTAATGTTCTTTGCCCGGAAGGAAAAGAAGGTTATTTATATATAGAGATAAATATATATTATTACAACGAAAATAATCACGAAAGAAACTAATTTATTGATTTTAATTCTTTAGAAAGCGTTCCCCCCGAAGATGCTAAGTTTATAAATGCACGAATATCTGAAAATTATGCGATAAATTGGCTTATTGATGGGCTTCCTGCTGCTAGTAAAAGAATTGATTCAAAAACGGGTGAAGAATTCTATAGCATTGGATTTGAATTAGGGGATCAAAAGATGAACTTGCACAATCATTATGCTATAGAGATTCATTATCATGAACATCAAAATGAGAAAAAATATCGGGTTGTCGGAGTAACTGTTAATCCTTCCAGGTAATTTAAAAAAGGGGATCTTTTTTTTCTTTATTCAAAATTCAAAATTTATTAATTTATGATAATAATAATAATAATAATTTAATCACAGTCGAAAATACAAGAACTATGAAGAGGCCAAGACATGTAAAGCTGAAGGCTTCTTAACTTTATCAACACAAAAGTCAAATGATGTGTTTTATACTTATGAAGTTTCTTGGATTGTATGTATCAAAAGAATTAATTTAATTTTAGAAATTTTAAAAAAAAAAGATAGTTATTAATCTCTTTTTTTTTTTATATTAGCCATCAGAAACTGCATGGGCAACAAGATGGGACAATTATTTACATACTTTCGATCCAAGAATTCACTGGTTCTCTTTGGTTAATTCTATTGTTATCGTTCTTTTCTTGACGGGGATGGTAGCTATGATATTACTTCGCGCTTTACATAAGGATATATCTCGATACAATCAAATTGATGCACAGGTTTGTATAATTATGGATAGATATATTAGTGAAAGATTTTTAAATTTGAAACCAAAAAAAAAAAATGAATTTTTTATTGATTTTTATTGATTTCATTCATTAATTTTCATAGGAAGATGTTCAAGAAGATTTTGGTTGGAAATTAGTTCATGGAGACGTTTTTCGTCCTCCCAGTCACATTATGTTGTTATCGGTCTTACTGGGTAGTGGTGCACAGTTATTCTTTATGACTACTGTAACTTTAAGTAAGTAATACGTAAAAAATATTTCATGATGAATATTATAAATTTTCTCTTTTAAATTTTCTAATATATTATTTATATATTATTTATATATCAAAATTCATCTGTTTTAAAGTTTTTGCCGTTCTTGGATTCCTATCTCCATCCAATCGAGGATCTCTTGCTACTGTCATGATCATTTTTTACATGCTCTTTGGTTCCGTTGCTGGATATACATCCGCACGTGTTTATAAGACTTTTGGTGGGGAATCCTGGAAGAAAAATGTCTTTTTAACCGCTTTCCTGTTTCCTATGTAAATATTATATTATTTTACAATATATATTTTTTTTTATTTTTTAATATTTTTTCTTATCTACAAAATATATAAATAACTAATTGGTAATATTAAAATATGTTTAGGATTATCTTTTCCATTTTTGTCATCTTAAACTTTTTCCTTGTGTCTGCCAAGTCATCAGGAGCAGTTCCCGCTTCAACTTTATTAGCCATAATAGGATTGTGGTTCTTGATTTCGGTTCCCTTATGTTGTATCGGTTCTCTTTTCGGATTCAAAAAACCTGTATGTGGTATCTTTATTTATTTATTTATATCTGTTTATATTTTTTGGGTTATCAAAAAAAGCTGATTATCCTTTTTTCTTTTTCTTTTTCTTTTATAGAGAATTGAAAAACCTGTTCGCACAAATCAAATTCCTCGTCAAATTCCAGATCAAGTCTTTTATTTACGACCCATTCCTTCGATGCTTATGGGTGGTGTACTTCCTTTTGGTGCCATTTTTATTGAACTTTACTTTATAATGAACAGTATTTGGGGAAGTAAAATATATTACTTGTTCGGATTTGCCGCTATGGTATTTGTGATACTCACAATCACGTGTTCAGAAGTTACAATTCTTTTGTGTTATTTCCACCTTTGCGCTGAGGTTAGAAATTTTTTTTTTTTTTTTTAATTCATTACAAAATAATATTTATTAAACATTTCATATTTACTTTATTTTATTTTTTTATTTTAATTAAAAAAGGATTATCATTGGAGTTGGAGAGCATTTTTAACTTCTGGTGCATCAGGATTATATATTTTCATTTATTCTATAATGTATTTTTTAACTCGATTACAAATTACTTCTTTAACCAGCACAGTAATTTATTTTGGATGGTCAGGAGTGATGAGTCTAATGTTTTTCGTTCTTACCGGTAAGTTTTACTTTTTCGTATATTTTTAATATTTTTATGGGATCATTTTTATTTTTTTATTTTTGCTATAAATTAAAATTATATTAAAATTTACATATTTAGGTACAATTGGTTATTTTGCTTGTCTTGTTTTCATTCGTAAAATATTCATGAGCATTAAAGTAGATTAAAAAATATATTAATATTCATGAGAAATAAAGTAGATATTAAAAGTAGATTAATTTTAGGTTGATTATCTTCATAATGAAATGTGTCACAAGATTGAAACTATATCTTGTGAAACAATTTTCAATAACATTTTTAAAAACAATTAATTTTTATTGATTATTATTATTATTATTATTTATCTCGTGTAAGTATAGATGTGAAATTAGTTTTCATTGATGATGAGAATTTTTTATTTTATTTTATTTTAATATTTTAATTAAATAAAAAAAAAGCATTTAATATATTTTTAATATTTAATGGTAAAATAAAATGTGGCGTTTTTTTTCTCTTTTTTATTGTAAGATAATCCATAATTGGTTAATCTTTGATCCTGGAAAAAGGCAAAGAAATTATATCAAGACACAAATAACTTTCATCTTTTTGGTAACGTTAACTACCGAAAATTGTGAAACAATCCAATTTCTTTTATGATACATAATACATGCATAAATGATGTAACTATAATAAACAAGATAAATGTGGGCGAGTATCTTATCTGATAAGATAATCTATATTATTTGATCAGTAAACGTAATTATTATTATTTATACGTCAGTATTTGACAATTATAATTGAAAAAAAAATAAACTATTTAATATCAATAGATACTGAAAAAAATATATATATATAAAGACAACCTTCTGCCTCTTCGCTCTCAAAAAAAATCTCATGAAATCATATAGTGGTACTACTTCTGCTGATTATATTGCACAACAAGGCAAGTAACAAAATAATTGTCAATATAGCATTGCTAATATAGCTTTGAGTTTACTTACTTAAAACTAGTTGTAGCAACAGCAGTTATTATATCGTCTTTACATAATATTAACTGTTTTCTTCTTTTTTAATAGTTTGGAAATCCTCATCTACCTCTTAAATTCTCTTTTACATTATTTTTTTTTTGCATTATTTTTTACGCTTTATTTTATTTTAATTATTAATTATTAATTATTACAAACATACTATAAATCCATAAATAAATTTTTTTAAAACCATTAAAAAAAATATTTTACTTTTAAAAAATTTCATAATGTTAACCGCCAAGACCGCCCGTTCTTTATTTGCGGTCGCATCGAATTCAATCAAACCCCTCGCTGCTTCGCGTGGCTTAGCAACAGTTACTGACCAATCTTTTGCTAGCGTCAAACCTCCACCTGCACCTTATTCCCTGAGTGTCTCTTCAAAACCGGCACCAGCAGCACTCAAATTTAAATCGGGAGAAATTTTTCACGGAACCTCATTCGGTGCCATGAAGTCTGTCTCTGGAGAAACCGTATTTACGACCTCGCTTGTTGGATATCCAGAATCCATGACTGATCCTTCATACCGAGGTCAGATTTTGGTATTCACTCAGCCTCTTATAGGCAACTATGGAGTGCCAGGGCTCGAGAAGGATAAATATGGCCTCCTAAAAAATTTTGAATCAGACAGAATTCAATGTAAAGGTATCATTGTGAACGACTACGCAAGTCGCTATTCTCACTGGACTGCTGTAGAGTCCCTTGGGGAATGGTGTACTCGTCACGGTGTACCTGCCATATCTGGAATTGATACTCGAGCATTAGTTCATATTTTGAGAGATCAAGGGTCAACCCTTTCCAAGTTCGTGGTTGGAGAAGATGCAGAAAAAGAAAATTTCTCCAAAATCCAATATTCTGATCCTAATAAAAGAAACCTCATCACTGAGGTCAGTACTAAAGTCCCAGTATCTTATAATCCTTACGGAGATGTGAAGATTGGTGTGATAGGTAATTAATTATTATTTTTTTTTATTCTTGCGTTTTTGATTGTATCAGTTTGATGAATTATTAAAAACGTTCTTTAATATATTTCAAAATTAGATTGCGGAGTCAAGCACAATATTTTACGTTCGCTTGTCGAACGGGGCGCAGCGGTTACAGTCCTTCCATGGGATTTCGATTTTAACAAAATGGCAGATCAATTTGACGGTATTTTTATATCAAATGGTCCCGGAAATCCAGCGCAGGCCACCGAAGCAGTCAAAAATTTACGCCATGCGTTAGACACTTTCCACAAACCGATTTTCGGAATTTGCATGGGAAATCTCCTCCTGGGAATGGCTGCTGGTTTAGACATTTATAAATTGCGATTTGGAAATCGTGGTCATAATGTTCCTGCACTCAATCTAAAGACCGGAAAATGTGCCATCACTTCCCAAAATCATGGTAAATATTTTTATTCCTTTGTATATATTTTTTTATTCATTACATAAGTTAAAATATTTAATAAAATATTTTTTTTTTGATATTTTTAGGTTACGCTTTAAATGATAGCGTGATGCCCCACGGATGGGAGAAATATTTCACTAATGCCAATGATGGTACCAACGAAGGTATTCGTCATAAATCACGTCCATACAGTTCAGTACAATTCCATCCCGAAGCTAAAGGAGGACCTTTGGATACAGAATATTTGTTTGAGGACTTTCTAATGAAAGTCCGTTCAGATAAGCTCAAAAGGGAAGGAGAAAAAGTTTTTATTCCGAAAACTATTCCCACACATGCCCCTCTTGTCGTTTGATTAATTTAAATAATGATAATTTTTTATAAAACAACAAAAAAAAACATTCAATTTATTATAATTAATATTTCATAAAACAAAAAAAAAAATGAACATTCAATTTAATATTTTTCACTTTTTTTTTTTTTAAAAAAAAAAAGAAATGTATATTCAATTTCATTATTTCATAAATTTTTTTTTCAATTTTAAAGATAATTTTTGTTATTTCTGTCAAGTTTTTAAATGGAAACAGTGGTGAATAAAGAATTTATTGGAAAAATAATTATTGATCTTATATTTCAAAATAACATGAACCATTTATCACAGGTTATATATAAAAAAGAAAAACGAAGAACTATTAAATAATTCATATCATTTCTTTGTATATATTTAAATCTTTTCAAACAATTATTTCAAACCTTGTGATCATTTAATTTATCTCATTAAGACAAATATTTTTTTTTGTAATTTCATTTTCTAAATAAAAAAAATTTCGAACTAGAATTTCATTTGTTTGTAAAAAAAACCTCTCTCGAACTAGAAATTTCATTTGTTTGAATTTGTAAAAATTATTTTATCATTCGACAAATTAAGTAAAATGAATTTAATCTCATCCAATCACAGTTGAACAGCTAATGATGTAGGACAACTTCAAGTATATATTAATCCTCTCTTCTAAAAATATTTTTTCGAATTCTCGGAAAACTATCTCTAAAAAAATGTTAATTTTTAAAATTGGTTTTTGTATTCTTTTGATAACGCTTTTTGCGTTATCCGTGAGTGAAGCGACAGTAATGGCCGTTGATTATGGAACAGATTGGTTTAAAGTTGCTTTAGTAAAGCCCGGGATACCACTCGATATTGTTTTAAACAGAGATTCAAAACGGAAAACTGCTTCCGTAATAAATATACGAGGGGAAGAAAGAATTTATGGTTCTGATGCAATTAATCTAGTGGGTATAATTTTTCCCGATCGATTCAATTATATCCTTGATCACCTGATTTTTATTGAATTGATAATAAAAAAAAAGATTTTGATTTTAACCCATTTTTTTATTATTACTTTGATTAAGGGTGCACGGTTTCCCTTTAACACTTACTTTAGTCTTAAAAAAATAATTGGTCGATTGGCTGATGATGTATATTCAAAGGAATACCAGTCGATCTTCCCGAACAAGATAATGTCGGATCCAATAAGGGGAACAGTCACATTTCAACATAATGAAACGAATGTGTTTTCTGTTGAAGAACTTCTCGCAATGCAACTTTCTCATGCTAAAGAATTGGCCGAGATCACGGCACACGAAACTATCAAAGATGTGGTGATAACGGTATTTAAATATATATATATATATATATATATAATATTCTCCTCACATATATGAAATTAGCTAAATTGGCTCTTTTTTTTTTTTTTTTTTGAGAAAGGTTCCTTCATATTATAATCAATTTGAAAGACAAGCCGTATTGGATGCTGCAGAATTAGCTGGTCTAAATGTTCTTTCTTTAATTAATGAAGAAACAGCCGGTTTTTTTTTTTTTCATCATCACATAATTTTTACGCACATTTACATCATTTCATTATTCTAATATTTTTTTCTGTTATTTTATTACCGTAGTCGGCTTGAATTATGCAATTTCACATTATTCTTCATTCACAGAAGAACCTCAATATCATTTATTCTATGATATAGGGGCGGGTAGCACAAAGGCAAGCTTAATAAGTTTTAAAACAGTAAGCGTGAAAGATGTGGGTCGTTTCAATAAGACAATAATTAAATTAGACGTAATTTCGACGGGATATGACCGAACTCTGGGCGGACAAGAAATTGATGTTCGATTACAGAGATATTTGGCAAAACAATTTGATAAAACTTTTAGTGATAAATTGAAGGAATCAATATTCAAATCTCCACGTGCAATGACAAGACTTTTAAAAGAAGCAAATAGAATTAAACAAATACTTTCGGCCAATACAGAGACTATTGCTTCGGTTAGTAAAATCTATCATCACCAAAATATATATATATATATAATCATATTTATCATATTTATTACATTTATCATTTATTTTTTAATTTACAGATAGAAAGTTTACACGAAGGACGAGATTTTCGTTTGCCAATAACTAGATCTGAATTAGAATCAATGATAAGTGATCTCATAAAACGAGTTGGTAGACCAATTCAAGATGCATTAAAGAATGCTAAAATGAGTTTTGTAAGAACTTTAATAAAATAGTTTTATTTTTGACATTAATATTAATTAATAATATTAATTAAGACCATTCTATTTTATCTAGAATAAAGTGCAATCATGCGTTTTAGTTGGAGGTGGTATTCGAGTTCCTTCTATACAGGCTAAGATAAAAGAAATTGTTGGAGAGTAAGCATCTAAATATTAATTTTTTATTTTAATTAATTATTATTTTTTGATTAATTATATTAATGATAATTTTTTTTTAAAGGGACAAAGTTGCCCAGAATATAAATGGAGATGAAGCCGCTGTTCTAGGTAATATATTCAAATGTTATCTGTTATTAGAAAAAATAATCTTTTTATTAATATATTGTTGGTATGTATACAGGTGCAGCGTTTAGAGGAGCATCTTTAAGTCGTCAATTTAAAGTTAAAGAAATTAAGATTAAAGACATAACACCATATCCACTCGAAGTTGTTTACGAGTCAGAACCGAGAGAAGTAGAACCTGGTATATTATTTGATTATATATATATTTTCACTTATATTTCAGTTAATTTATCTTTTCTTTTTTTTTCTTTTTTTTTTAGGAGTAATAAAAAGCAAAGTTTATCATACTGTTTTGTTCGATGAACAGACAACAGTCGGAGCTCGTAAATTAATGACCTTTAAACGTGTAACTGATTTTGATTTTATGATACAATATGGGAAATTGAATGAAGCTGTTGCGAAAGATTTTGGTCCTAAAGACATTGCCACTTTCAAAATTACGGGATTGATAGATGCCTTTAAAAAATTTGAAGATATTGATTCGGAAAAACCTAAAGTTAAGGTTACGTTGCAGTTATCAGAATCAGGATTTGTGACTGCTACAGATGCTATTGCTACTTTAGAACAACCGACATTTACTGGTATAAATTTAATTTAATTTTAAATATATATATATAAAATAACTTATAGTATTAATACTAAAGAACATTTTATATATATACATAAATATTTATTTATTCAGATAAAGTCAAGACTTTCTTTGGTGTCAATAAAAATCAATCAGAAGAGTCTTTAAAAGAAGTACCATTTTCTGAAGTGAGTTCATATAGAAATATGATATTCGAAATAACCGTCTAACAATATATATATATTCTTATAATATAGGAGATGGCAAACCCTGAGAACAAGACAAACCCCGATGAAAATAATAATAATAATAATAATAATAACACACAAACTAATGATACAGAAACTATACAAAAACGCACTAAAATCGAGACAGTCGATCTAAATCTCGAGATTAATTATCTAGGCATTAAACCTCTTGGGGGTATAGAGAAAATTGCTTCTATCCAAAAGTAAGACTTTTTAAATATGGTTAAATTTTTTTGTTAGTTTAAATTTAATAATTAACTAATTTAACTAATTAATTAATTAAATTTAAAACATTAGGTTACGTCAAATGGATGATTCTGATCGTCAACGCAGATCTCGGGAAGAAGCTAGAAATAATCTAGAATCATTTGTATATCGAATACAAGATCTTCTTGATGATCCGGATATTATTAAAGTCACTACGGAAAAACAACGAAAAGAATTATCTTTAAAAGCATCAGAAACATCAGAATGGTTATATGACGAAGGGGAAGAAGCATCAACAGATGCATTTCGGATGCGTCTTCGAACGCTCAAGTATGAATTATTTATAAATATTCGACCTATTTTTTAAACATGAAAACTAATATGTAATTATATTTTAGAACGATTGAACAACCAATTATATTTCGACGTGATGAACTAAGTCGACGTCCTGAAGCGATTTTTTCAATTCAATCTCTTATTAAAAGCGTTCGAGCCTTTGCTAATCGAATAATAACAAATTTAACTGCTGAAAATAATCCCATTACGGAATTGGAACTCAATAGACTAATGGATACTTGTTTCAGAGTTGAAGAATGGCTTGAGGATAAATTATATGAACAAGAACGAATCCCACCACATGTTGATCCGGTTTTGGTTTCATCTGATATTCAGAAAAAAGCAAAAGAAATACAACGTGAATTATCAATATTGGAAGCCAAGAAGAGGGCTTTTGATTCATCAAGTTTTACTAAAGCTTCAAATGATCCTCAAAGCACCAAATCCAATAGTCAAACAACCAAACCCGTCGATAAATCATCGACGGATATTCCACGTGATGAATTGTAATATTAAAAAAAAAAAATAATGATTGATTCATGGTTATTTAGTAAAAATACAAAATTTATTAATTTTATTCATTGAGAATTAATAATTAAATTATTATATTGAACATTACTAAAATTAATACATTCAACCAACATCTATAAAACATCCAATTTTAATCTATATAAATAAAAAATTAAAAAAAATCTAGATTAGAAATGTTAGAAACCAAAATTTATTCCAGTTTATCTAAATGATCCAATCTTGTTAATACAATATTTTTACTAGTTTCTTCAATTTCTCCTGCTAAAAAAACTTCATCTAATATTGCATAAACCTATTAATTAATTAATTAATTAAATTAATTAAATTAATTAATTAAATTAATTAAATTAATTAAATAAAATGTAAATTATAAATTGGTAATAATTAAATTGTTTAATATTATTTAAATCATCAAATTGTTTTTTTCACCTTATAAAAATTAAAAACTAAATCCAATTCACAAACATTTCCAAAAAAAGCATCCAAAACTTCAACAAAGAAATGTATTGCTTCTAAATAAGCCATTTCATTATCATTAGCGTCTACACAAACACAAAAAAATAATCCTGCATATCGACGATAAACTATTTTGTAATTACGGAACTATAATTTATTTAAAATCAAAATAGATATAAAGTTATTAAATAAAATCAAATTTTTCAATAAAGAAAATTATTTTGTAAAAAATATACCTCTACAAAATTTGATTGATGTTTTTGATCTCTCGGAGCCACAAGTCTATGAACTTCACCTTTTAATTTAACCTTTTCATCATCTTCAAAAGGAACATACCATTTAGAAAGTCTTGTTTTTCCCTGACGATTTTGAACTAAAATGAAACGAATCTACGGTTTTTTTTTAAAAAAAATAAATTAACTGAAATCGTAAAAAAAAAAATCGAATTTCGAGTTAAATACCATTTTTTACTGTGAAATTTAATTTGAGTCTAGTCAAGTTTATGTTCTGATGATAATATGCAAATCAGCCAATAAAAATTTCTCATTATCAAAATGTCTGTAACGTCAATGTCTACATTGTCTAAAATGTCTCGAGAAGTTGAAGAAAACATTTCTAAAGATCCTATTTCCATTGTGGACCAATCCAAACCTGATTTTTCCATGTCAGAGAAAGATAAAAAAGATAAAGAACCCAAAGAAAACGAAGAAAACGACAATTTGTCAATAACAATTGAAGAAATTTCAAATATGCTTTCTGTCAATTCGATCACTGCCATAAGTGGAATGTCTCGACAAAAACATTACAAAACTTCACCATTACTTGTAAAAGATAAAGTAGCAACTCAAGAAGAAAGGAGACTGAGAGCTTTAGAAGATCAAAAAAAGGTATATACCTTAAGTTTTTTAACTTTGAAAAATTAAATAAATAATTATATTAACCTTTTTAACAACTTTAACAACTTTAAGCGAAGACGTGATCTTACTATGCATGCAAGAAATCTTGCACTCTATAAACCAACAGAAGTATTTTCTGATGAAGAATCAGAGATAGACGAAGAGAATGATTTAGAATCTAATAAGCAAGCTCAATTAAAGACGAAACGTCGACTTGAATTAGAAGAAGAAGACATTGAATTTATTCCTAAAAAAGCACGACATAAAGGCAGATTTAGAGGAAATAAACAAAAATGTAAATCAAGAAACCCATATAGGAATCAGATAATGTTTGCTGAATGGATGCATGAAATACCTGGTGATTTAGAGGAAAATTGGTACGTGGTTTTATGTCCAATTGGAAAACGATGTCTTGTGGTATCAGCAAAAGGCAAAACGATTTGTCGATTACGCAATGGTAAGTTTTTATCAATAAATTTGATATTTTTATAAAATTTATAAAATTTATAAAATTTACAAAATTTTTTTTATTTATTTTTACAGGATATGTAATGAACGTTTTTGAGTCGATTTTACCCGCAGGTTCCAATAATTACTCGGGAAATAAAAATTCCGATTTTTGTATATTAGATTGTATCTATGATCAAAAAACATTTACATATTATGTATTAGACATGATGTGCTGGAAAGGACATCCCATTTATGATTGTGAGACGGAATTCAGGTAATTGATTTCGCAAAATAAAATAAATAATAAAAACGAATGTGTAAACCCAAATAAATTATAAAACTTTTTTTTTTTTCTATTATTATTACAGATTTTATTGGTTGACAACGAAACTTGCAGAGATTGATACACCAACTCAGGATATTTCAACTTATTCATTTATTCCTCTTACAACTTATCTTGCTAATTATAAAAATCTCAAATTTTTAATCTCTGATCCTCATCGTTTTGGATATCGACCTGATGGATTATTATTTTTCAATAAATACACTCAATATGTTTTTGGAGAAACACCACTTTGTGGTTGGGTTGGCATTGAAAAAGTTGATGAGATTTTTTCTACATTTCTTCAAGAACAAATAATTCCTTTAATAGAAAATTAATTTTTTTTTTTTTCTTTTTTGTTTATTTGTACATAATTCTTATAATTTTATATTATAATATATTCTTAAATTCTTTTATTATTTTAAAAATGTCATTAATAATAACTAGAAATAAAAAAAAAAAATCAGGTTTTTTAAAGTGGTGTACTAATAATAATATAAATTATATAAATTATATAGATCCAAAAATGTTAATTTTTAATAATGTTACACAACTGCGATCATTTGATTTTTATATATAAATCTGCACTTTATAAATCATTGATAACTTATAATGACATAATTTATTTTATTATACCAAAAAAAAAAAATGGACGCATTTTTATGGCTATTTCTTCTTTCAATAACTATGTTTATTGGCTCTTTTTTGGCAGGGAGTATTCCCTTAGCTTTTCATTTATCTGAAGATAGACTACGGACTATTTCAGCTTTTGGCATCGGACTACTAGTTGGTGCTGCATTGATAGTAATTATACCCGAAGGTATTGGAACTTTATATAGTGTTCCTACTACAATCCCTGAAATAAATTCAAATGATTTCTCTCAAAATAAGATTATAGATATTACGGGCGATGATATGCTCGATAAACGTAGTTGGTTAAATTATAATCAAATAAAAAGAAAAGAAATAAATCAAGATAATGTTCATAAGTGGTCAAATATAAAAAGGGAATCATCTATTGTGGATAATCCCAAAGATAAGATAGAATCAGAAGATACCACAACTCCAACAATTTCGGATAGTCACGATGATGATGATGATGAAAATGCAAACCATCGTTACATTGGATTTGCATTAATATCGGGTTTTGCTATGATGTTCGTGATTGATCAAATAGATACAACTCATGTACATTCTCACACTCGTGTTAGTGTTGTCAGTCTAACAGAACTTCGTTCATTATCTAGTGGAGGAGGAGGAGATCGTGAAGAAGATGATCATGAGATAGTTGGTTCATCAACTATACATAAAAAGCCAGCTTCTGCTACGATCGGTCTTGTTATACATGCAGCAGCTGACGGAATTGCTCTAGGAGCATCTGCGAGTGAACCAGCACTTGAAATAATTGTTTTTCTTGCGATTATGTTACATAAGGCACCATCTGCTTTTGGGTTATCTACTGTATTATTACGTGAAGGGTATAACCGTAGACAAATCCGTAAACACTTATCAATTTTCGCTTTAGCTGCTCCACTTTCTGCACTTTTGACATATTCCTTTTTACAAAGAAATAGTGAATTAGATCCTATTGGAATGAAATGGTGGACTGCGATGTTATTACTCTTTTCTGGAGGTACCTTTTTATACGTAGCGATGCATGTGATGCAAGACGTTACCAGTGGTATAAAGGACTCAGGGATTAGTGGAGGACATAATGTTAATAAATTATCGAAATCACATGTTGGTTTCATGTTATTAGGAATGTTTCTACCTTTACTATTACAATTTGAACACAGTCATTAATTATAGTTATCATTAATTGTAGTCATCATTAATTGTAGTTCATCATTAATTATTAATATCGCATAAGGATTTCTCAAAAATACTTAGATTAAATCATTATTCATTATATTCATTATTACATTCGAATTTTGTATATAATATAATTTTAGACAGACAAGAAAAAAAAGTCATAATTAATAATAGTATAACTGTTGTAATTTTGCTAAGGAAATTTTTATATTTTATAATTTTTACAATTATGGAAAGTCTATATATAAAATTTAATTTATAGACATAAAGAATAGAAAGATTAAATAATTTCTATTTGGATTCTTCACTTTAAATATTTTAAAATAAAATTCTGATTTGTAGGATTCTAATTAAACTTTATAAATTGTAAAACAAATGAAATAATTTGATTAATTTTTTTTTTTTTTTTTTCATTTAACTGTGGATTGTAAATCAATGAAATAGTGATATAAAAGGAAGATTTATATGATAATAACATTTGATAATGTTAAATCAAACCTGAAAAATGCAACAACGATCTTAATAATATAACAACCACGTGAAATCAACAACTATCTATCATTTATATAGTTAAACAGATTTTTTTTTTTAAATATTCAATATATTATTTCAAATATTATAAGATATTATAAAGATATTATAAAGATATTATAAGATATTTCGCGATATATATATATAGAAATATAAAAATGTTGGTTAGGGAACAATTTCGACTTTAGTAAATAATATTCTTTGATACTGATTTCCTAATTAATCTATATCCCAATGAACTCACACCACCTATTAAGAAAATGTATGAATAGTGAAATTGTCATACGTACCGTATTTAGTAATTTTTTGGGGGGTTTTTTTTTCTCAATTTTATCCACATTGTCAAAGTTATCAACTTCCTTACGATACGCACATAAATCAACCAACACAGTATATTTATAATACTAGATGTTTTGCTTCAAATGAACTATCGATTGAAACATATTGATTTTCTTTTTACAAAACTCTACTTATTTCAAATTTCACTCTTTATAAGACTATTATCTAATGATGTATAAATTTTTTGTTTGTTTGTTTGTTACATCGAATAAAAGATCTTCCATTATAAATTTATACAATCAGAATAAATATGAATGAAACTATGAATGGATTTATAAAAAGATGAATTTTGCATACAACCAATTAAATCAATACTTGATCTATAATCGTTAAATTTTTACGGGCTTTTTTTTTTTTATACATAAAAGAACAAGCTTACTTCTAATAATATTCCTTCTTTCTAAAAATGTCGATTGTTAATTATTTAATCTTCGCATATTAGATTCCATAAAAACTCGCTTTATATTTCTCAATATTCCTTTGCGTCTTCGAAATTATAATGAAAAATAATCCACCAAATTATTAATATCCGTTTTCACCCCCTGCAGATGATCCCGAATTACTTGGCATCCCACACTTGGCACAATGTGTCCTTTTAGCAAAATTATGATATCCACATATTTCATTACGACATAGCCAGTCCCCTGGCTTCATATTGGCTGTAGAAGGTGTATTGCCCGAAATTTGTGGTGGTTTCGAGATGCCACAACGAATACACTGAAATCGTGAGGCAAAATTGTGGGAATTACAAGATGGGCAATACCAATCTCCCGGACGAAATGGTGTTTGTGCAGGTGGTGAAGGTCCATGAACCACTACTCCATACCCTTGTTCTGTGGGATTTCCATATGCATCATACCCCAGATGATTTGACGTACCACATCGCATGCAGTGAGTTCTAGATGCAAAATTTTGAAAAACACAAGCAGGATTTGGACAAATCCAATCGCCTGGCCTAAAAGGTATATTACTTGTTTGTGGTGGTCCATATAATCCTTGAGGTTTATGAGTCCCACATCTTAGACACTGAGTTCGTGATGCATAATTATGAAAATTGCATTGAGGATTTGGACACATCCAATCTCCCAATGTAAAATTTGGTGGTGTTTGAGGAATTAAAGATGGATTTGGGTTGTTGCTATTGCATTTGAAACATGTTCGTCGTGATGCAAAATTATGGAATTGACATGAAACGCAAACCCAATCACCCGGGCGAAGACGATTTTTCGTTACCTTTTCATGATTCATAAAGGTGAATGACGTTGCGGAATTGATTCGAAATTTAATTTAAATCATTAATCAAGTCTTCTGGTTAGCTTCTGTGACTTCATCAACTAAAAAACAACAGAATATAAAAAAAAAAAAAATTTAATTTCACACATCTCAATACACGTACCGGAAACGATGCCAAAATAGTCCCCGCAGCCTCAATTACTCTTTCGCTACTTGGACTTACTTCGATGGCTCTATCACCTAAAGTCCTACCGTTCATATCTAAACATGCCATGGCGTCTTCGTGTGTAGCAAAGATACCAAATCCTGATCCACTTGGTTTTTGATGATCGGGTGTTCGAATCATCCACAATACTGTTGGTCGTACGCCTTGACCGGAAAACCATGCCTCTAATTCTGGTTGTGTGACATCATATGGCAAGCCTGCAAGGTGAATAACCTTGGATTGTTCTTTTTTAAACTGATTTAAATCTGCGTCGGTGTCGATTGGATTTACAAAAACATCCGGATGACCAAAAGAGCAAAAGTAACGGACGATATTAACCATAGTCAGTGAATCTCCTAATCCGGTATGTATTTGTCCAGCAACTTGCAAATCAAAGGCCGCACACATTTCGTTCAGAGAATGGCTCTTTAATATTACATCTGGATGATGTACTTGCCACCTTTGAAATTCTTGTTTTAAATCAAACATTCGACAGTGAGCTAGATACGACGGCAACTCGATATGTTTATCCCTCGCTTCTCTTGGCATTTGAATTCGAAGATCCCACGCACCATGTGTACAAAAACAAAATGTTTTATTTTGAGAAATGATACGGCTTTTAATATAATTGTCAAGGTTAGTGATAGCATTTTCCAAAGTTCCTGCTTGTTCAAGTTTGTCCCAGGTTATGTTGGTGAGGGTTGTACAGAATGTTGTCAATGGCGTATTTACTGGTTTAACGTATTGAGTGTGTTGATCAACCTTTCATATAAATATAAATTATTTTATTTTTAATTCTCAATATATTATAATACAATTGTACAATAAAATGAATTATGATAAATACAAACCACTTCCAACGTGTTTGTATCGACAATCACCCAAGCAAATTCAATTATTTCTGCCGTTTCCTAGTAAAGCAATCCAACAACGTGTGTATAAACCAGGCAATAAATCTCAATTAAACAAGTAAAAGAAAAAAAACAACATAAATGTGTCAGGATACGGCTTAAGAACGCGTACTAGACCCGAACCCAACCGTACAGCCGACAAAGTGGATCTCAACTAACTAACTAAAAAAAATTGTCACTTGTTGATGAATACCTTTGTAACCTGCGAAGCTTGTGCAGCCTCATTCTCGTCACAAGTAGCTTCGAAATCGATCACCACTAAATAATCGATTCCGGGACAATGAACGTTTTGAGAAGTTGACATGTTTCTGTTTCTTATTTATTCTTATGGGTAAAGAAATGTTAAATAACACACGAAAAGAACGATTCTACAGTTAGTTTGAAGAGAGAAATGTTGATTTTATGTTTCACAAGAACAAGCTAATTGTCACATGGATAAATTTCCATAAAATAATTAAGGTGATACCTAATTAACTGTAATTCTAATTCCTCAATTAGTACCAATTCAAGACTACAATTTAAAGTTTCTTGTCACACTTGGGCTAATTGTCATATTTTTTGTCACAAGTGTTAATTTTTTGCTGTTCTAATTAGTATTGTTAAGTCTGAACCAAGTCTGAACTAGATTTAATAAAGCTAAATTTGTTAGAGTTTCAAGTTATTGGCTAATAGAATTGATGGAAAATTGATAAAGTCAATAGTAACAATTTAACTTTTTAGTACAATGTCATCAAAAGTAAAAAGCCTTTAACTCAATTTTAATTTTTTCAATTTTTAACTCGATTCAATAGTTTTGATAACATATCTAGTTTAGTTTAATTTTAACTTCAAATTAAACCAATAACCAATATAATTCAAGATAATGATACTAGTTATGCTTACATCCCAAATTAAATTTTATATAGTTTTTGATGAACAAAATAAAAATAAGAAATAAAATATTTTTATAAAAAATGAAATTATAAAATTCAAACTTTTTTGATCACTTAAAAAATTCTTTAATTAAAAATGCATCTAATTATTACTTTAAATTTTTATAATAATAAAAAATTATAATTCAAAATTAAAATATTTAATTTTATTAGAAGTAATTAATTTATTAAAGGTAAATACTTTTAATAGAGATAATTATATTTGTATATAAAATAGTCTATTATAATAATTTGAAATATTTTGAAATTCAAAAGTTAAAACAGTTTTTTATAGAGATGAAATTATTTTACTTAAAACTTGAAATTTTTAATCAAGAATATTTTTTGATTGAAAATATATTAAGTTAGAAATTTTTTTATTTTTATATATAGAATAAAAATTTCAAAATTTCAAAAAGATGAAATATCTTAAAAATAAAAAATCATTTGTATAGTTAACTATACTTGCATATAGAATAGCCTATTATAGTAAGTCAAAATATTTTAAAGTTCAAAAGTTAACTATTTTTTTATAGAAAACAAAATTATTTTACTTAAAACCTGAAATTTTTTAATTACCAGATATTTTTTTATTTTCATATATAAAATAGATATTTTAAAAATCTCAAAAAGATGAAATATCTCAAAAATCAGAAATCAATTTTGAAAACATATATATAATTAATTCTCTTTATAGTTACTTACTGTATAATCACATTATATAAATTTCTTATTATAAACACTCTTTTATAAAAACTCATTCTTATTAATGTTATATAAAAAATCTCTTCTATAATTATAGGATTTTATAGTTACATCAATACACAATACAAATTTGAAAGTTTTGGGACAAAACCATCAATATTGGTATTAATGTGCTACTCCTGTTGAAAGCTCAAATCCATAATCGATTTTTAATTAGACTGGCAAAAAACATTTTGATCATTACTCAAATAATGAGCATTTTACTTTTGTCTTGTCATTTTTAACATGTTTTGATTAGATTTATTTTATGCTACTTTGCTTGTTGTTAAAAAAACAATGAGAAGTGATGAAGGATATGAATGAAATGAATATCCTGATTTTTTCTCAGACATGCTAACAAACTAAAATACATATTATTTCATTAAATCTAATCAAAGTCTAATCTCTTGATATCAAAATTATTCTTGATATTTAGTGCTCTAGATTAAATTTCTGATATGTAAATTTTATAGCAAAAATAAATCTAACCTCTTAATATCAAAATTGTCTTTAGTCAGGTGATAGGTTGTAGGCCCGTCTCTTATGAGTTAGTCTGAATCTCATCTTTTCAAATAAACATTAGAATAAGTTGTGTATTTTGTATTATGTAATCTTATGTAATGTAAAAAACTTTTTCTTTTTCTAATTAATAAATTTGAGACAAGACCTTGCTGAAACAAAAAAAAAAATGTCTTTAGTATTTAATACTTTAGAATAAGTTTCTGATATGTGAATTTTATAGCAAAAATAAATCTAACCTCTTGATATCAAAATTGTCCTTGGTATTTAATGCTTTAGACAAGTTCCTAATATATAAAATATTTATTCAAGCTAACAACTATTACAATATTCCTTCTCTTCTACATTTATTAAATAAAAGTATTCCTTGCAAAGAATAATATTAAGATTTGTAAGTACATCTCTATGGATATCCATTATTTTCTCATAAGTTCTTTCTCTATGAATATCTATTATTTTCTCATAAGTTCTTTCTTGTATATTTGATCAAAATTTATTATAATATTGAGCAACATAATACCCTTTAGTATATAAAGGACAATGATCAGAAATTGATTCAATAGTTTACTATAGTCAGAGCATAGTACCCGTTTTTTAACCTTTCAATAAAACTAACATCCCTCTGGTTGAAAATAAGGTTTAGAGTAAACAATACCAGAGTTATGAATATATAGACACGAATACTTACCAATCATTTTTGAATAAAGATATAAATTAATTATTTAAAGAAAAGATTTTATATAAGTAAAATATAATGCAAAAGTTAAACTTAATATATTATAACCATTATACTTTACATATGACTAGAAAAGACAAGAAAAATAGAACTTGTGAATGTTGTAGACATACATGTGCAACACCACAAAAACTTCGTGAGCATCTTAATAGAAAGAATTCACATAGACCCCTCATTTCTTCAGTACTTTTATCTCAGTACCAAAGTACTTTACCTATTTCGAAAAATCAAGAAGTTTTAGATATACCTGAAGCAATATAAAATCCAGAGCAAAATTCTAAAAACTTATCTCAAGTAGTAAAAAATACTAATAACAGAAAGCCAGGTGAAACTGTTAAGCAATGGGACTCAAGATTATGAAAAAAATATAAAAAACTATGTTATAAAAATTATGATCAATTAAAAACTTTAAAAGCTTGTCAAGTTCTTTATAATACTTTATTACAAATAAATGAAGAAGTATATATCAATATAGAACCTATAAAGCAATGAAAAAAGAACAAGAATTTTTTGAAGAACCTGAAATTGAAGTAGAAAGTTACGTATTACAACCAATAATTGAGCCTATTAAAACTTAAGTTATAGACTCTTCTAAAGCTGAAAAAATTCCTTTAGAAATAGATCCAACAAATAAAGAATTTGAACATCTTAGTATGATTACTGGAGATCACGAAAAAAGCATAATATTTAGAGAACAAATTTTAGGAAAAGTACAAAAAGACAAGCTGTAGCCATACATAATGCAAAAGTTTCAAGATATCATTCAGATAATGGGAACAACATTAGAAAAATGTTAGAAAGTCAAAGAAAATCTTTTCAGAAATTACTTGAGAAAGAGTTTGATAAATGAAGTTAATTTAAATTTTCATTATGCTCTCTTACAAAATTTCTTATAGACGACAAATCAGATGCCAATAAAGGAAAAAATAAAAAAAAGAATGTAAGAACTGATTGGTTATGAAATAAACAAATTATAGTATATAATTGATCAAAAATAGATGATTATTTAAGCAATACTTTCGAACAAATTATAAATCAAGTAGAAGAGAGAGAAGGTAAGTCTAATGCTTAAGAATATATTTGAATGGTAGTATTGTATCTGGTGGAATAATTTGTAACTCTTCTAGTACAAAAGAATATTTAGGTCTATTATATAGCTTATAGAGAACTGGTGATTTTCTTTTATCAAATAAGAATCAATTGTAAAAGTTTCGGGAGACCAATTGTAATCAGTTACTCTTTTTTTCTAGCTTTCTAATTCACCAAGTTCTAAAAGATGACGAATTTCTACATAGCTTGGTAAAAGAGACTCACTATAACCAATAGGTCTTCTATACTTAATTACAGGTTTGACTATTATTTTTTCATCTTTTAATATTCTTTTTACAACTTTATTAGGTGACATGCTTATTAAGCAAGTAACAGAATTATTAAAAGTATCATCATTTATATGAAGATCTTTGAACCAATCTCTAGATCTCTCAAATAAAAGCAAATGAAAATCTATAGTATCTTGATAAAAAAAACATGTTTCTCAAATTCCTGATGATCTCGTTCAGCAAAAACTATCACTGGTCGAAAATTGATAAAACATACACATATCAGGTACCCGATATGTGCATGGTGTTTTCCTAATATCGGACATATATCAGGTACCCGATAGGAGTAGAAAATATTTTATATATATATTGGGTACCCGATAAGTGTAAAAAATATTTTCTACACCTATCGAGTACCCGATATGCCCGATATTAGAGAAACACCATGCACATATCGGGTACTCGATATGTATATGTTTTATCAATTTTCGACCAGTGTATATCATGTTTAGAGTTGGTATACTGAATTTTTATATTATAACTAAGTAATAAATTCTTACACTTGCCTATATATTCAGTACTTTATTATTAAAAAAAATTTTTAGATAATTAAGAGGACAATTTGGATCATTATAAATTTTCTGAATTGCCTTAACTATTTTAACAGATGTTTTATCAATTAAAACAAAATCACATCGAAACCTAGTAGCTACATCTTTAATTACATCTTTATACTTATAAATTCATTTACCTACTTTGTTATAAGGCATAAGTATAGTATCAGACTGGTGTACTTCATTTATTTACTTGTTTTAAATATATTTCGTGATCATAACTGTGGAGATTATACATATCATATCAGGTTAATTTCTTAGTCCTGAGATATTCTAAAAATTTATCATGCCGAAGCTCTTTTTTAATATCTTTAGCCTTTTGCATTTTATGCTTTTTCTACCAATTTTTCATACTTTGAGATTTTCTAAATTCTTCTTCCTTTAATTCTTTTTCAAAATCTACATTTGTTTCAGGAGTTTTTAAATCATGTCCAGTTAGAAGGACTGAATACATTTTCAGTTTCAAATATACTAACTCACCTATTGGCCTTTCCTTTGTTTCATCCTTTATTAAAAATAAATCTTCTGAATAGTTAAGATTGAAAATATCTGGTCTTTCTACTCAATCTTTATAAATATCTTCTGTTTCAATCCATATAATAAGAGAATCTGTATCTGTATAAAGTAAATGGGTTTTGTTTCCATAGCAAGATTTTATATAATCATACTAGAAATTATATATCATAGCTTTGCTAATATTAAAAATTACTTGTCCCACAAATAATGGTTTATTAAGAGTTACTGTACTTTTTAACATGTGAACTACTGTAATTTCTCCTTTATATATTTTAAAACTTACAAATAATGAAGATCTAATGAGACAAGTTAGTTTTTTATCTTAATCAGATTTAAGTAATTCTACTTTCATATGTTTACAAACATTTTCCATCTGTTTCTTGAATACTGAATTATTTTTAAGTTTATAATACATGACCTCAAACTCTTCTTTATTAACTTTGACATTTTTTCTTTTATAAATATTTTCCTCAATATAATCTTTCATCTATGAAGATTGATGAAACTTTAAAGCACTATGAATTTTTGTAACTTTCATTTCAAATTTTATATATATCTGTAGAGCTCTATAATAAACTACATAATTTTTCTTAGGTAAGAGTGTTTATAGTAGCTTTTCTCCTGTTACATATTTTTCACCTCCAACTAGTGTTGTAATCCTTAATCCAGTAAATTTAAATCAATCCTATAATTCGAATTAATCCTATAATCCGAATCTGTTATTTTTAAAAAAGATTTATCTGAAATAAAAATGGATTAAGGATGCAGATTATCCAGATCATAATTTGAATTATAATCCAAATTATATATATTTATATACGTGATACACATGACAATGGTTTGTATTTAAAAATAATTTTTTTTATAAAATATTTTATTTATTTATTTAATTGGTGGATCTGTGCAATATCAAGATCTAGATTATTATTATAAATTTATTATTATTATAAAATTTCTTCTCTAAAATATTATGGAGATAATTTATTCTTCTTCTTTTATGATAGGAATAATATATTAAACAAGTTCTTCTCTTGTTCGTAGTGTGGAGTGGATTATAAGTTAAGTTATTGAAGATCCTGTAACAGTTAATGGATGATTTCAGCGATGTGACTCTGTGGTAATGTGACAATGTAGGAAGTGAAGTAATTGGAGTAGACGATATGGGTAATGTAAATCATGAAAGTATTGATAATGTTTATTGTCTTCTTTATCTCTGTTATTCTTGTTGTTCCTCGTAGTTCCTTATATATTCTAATTCTAATCTTTGCCTCTCTTGTTTTTCGCGAATATGGCAATTATGATATTCTTACTCTATTTAGTTGGTCTCTTCTTGTAATCAGCAGACTAGAACTAACTCTTCTTGATGTCCTGGATATTTTTATCCCTGCGGTATGAGTTGGGTGGTTATTTTCACTTCGTTGAGGGTTTCAGATTAAGTCTTCTCTTGGTTGTCTCTTAAAGTTCTCCAAAGTAAATTGACTATGGTTTCAGGTGTGTTTGCGACTTCCTTTTGAGTTTCCACTTGTTCAAGAAATGAATTTTTCCTTGTCTTGTTTGTTATTATTTCCAAATAAATTATTTAGAGTGTTGTCAACTTATATAATTTTTATATATGAAAATAATATTATTATTTTTGCCATTACGCAATAATCGAAAAAATATATAATTAATAATAAATATAATTATTAACAAGAAATTATAATAAAGACAATTTATTTTGGGGTTAGAGTAATTAAAGAGTAAGTAAAATGAGAGGAAAATAGGTGGAGAAAAATAAAGTGAATTTTTTTTTTTGTAATAATTTTGTTCATCATTTATCTGTCACAGTTTTGTACTATGAAAATAATAATGGAGATGTGATGGTCTACTAATAAATCGTGATGTGATAAATTAACGTCCATTGTTACGATTTAAAAAATTTCATGTGATTTTTAATAAATAATTAATTATCTATCAACTATTTTTTTTTACATTTTCTCCATCTATCACTTAATGATAGCAGATGATTTTGATCCATTTGAAGATTGTCTTCAAATAGATTTTGAAGAAAACTAAGATAATTCAACTATTGAAGATCAAGATAATACTTTTTCTACAATTGATACAATTGATAGAGAAGAAAGTTTGTATAATAGTAATATTATTTTCATGAAATTGACATTTAATTTTTGAATAAAAAATAATATTTTTTGATTTGTACAGGTACAGAATGTACTATAATTCAATCAAAAAACATAAAAGAAAGAAATCATCATTTACAAGACAGTATTTTGAAAAGGGACTTAATTCAAAAGGTGAAGAAATTCAAATTTGTAAGTTTATAAATGAAAGTGGTAATTGATGTAATCAAACATATCGAAATGCTGGAGGTTCAACTGAAAAATTTAATTGCGCATTTGTGAGATGTTCACTCTATTATTAATGATGATATTGAAAGTAGAACTTCTAAAAAGGTATAAAGTTAGATTTTTATTTTGAAATTTTTTATATATTATATTATAATTTTTTTATTGATTTAATAATTAATTGATTTAATAATTAATTTTTTAGTTACGAAATACTAAAATTACTGATTTTATTAAATCTCATCGTCCTCATCCTAAACATATTCAAAAACAACTTGAAGAAGTTCTTCTTAAATGGATATTAATTACTGATCAGCTTATTTCAACAGTTACAAATTCAGCATATAAAAAAATGATTTTACATTTTAATTTTTCATTTGATATATCTGGAAAACAAAAAATCAAAACAATAATATCAAAAAGTTATAAATACAACTGTGAAAATTTAATGAATTTATTAAATAAAATAGCTACGACAGTATCATTAACTAAAAATCTTTGATCTAGCAAAGCTAAACATGGATATTTAGGTGTTACTGCAACATGGATTACATCAAATTTTAAAATTAAAGATGTAATACTAGAAATAAAATATACTCTTTTTCCTCACACAGCTAAAACTATTGCTGAATTACTTTATCAATGTATTACAAATTGGAATCTTAAAGGATGTGTGATAACAATTGCATCAGTAATTATATTAATTCGAAAACCTTCGAAATTATATCGCAACGTTAGATTTCGAAGGTTATCGATTG